CTTTAATGAGCCGGACGAGGGCCAGGCCGGTTCTGATGGGTTCGGGCCCCTGAGTGCCGTCTGACCTATTCCCTGACATTCTGTCTCTGACATTCTCTGCAAATTAAAGTTCGGCTGTAATGTCCTCCGCCGTGTCTGAAACACCTGCTCGTCACCGCTGCACACACTGACCCGTCGCCACACACACTCTCTCTGTGTCCAGCCTCGATCGTGGCGCAGAAGTGGTGGTGTCAGATGCACCCGTGTCTGGATGGAGAGGAGTGTAAGGTTCTGCCGGATCACGGAGGCTGGAGCTGCGCCACGGGGAACAAGATCAAGACCACCAAGGTATGAGACCTTCAGCACAGTTACAACCAGATTAAAAGATAGTCAAACCTGCATAGCAACACCTAAAACACAAATAAGAGCAGCGAAACCTTTAATACCAGCTGTTCAAATCTCCAGGGAGTCAAAATATAGCTTTGCTTCTTTGTGCATGATTTAAACTGGCCCATTATGCTTTTATATAATTTAATATTCAACAATATTATTGATCTCCTGCATTGACAGCATTATATGAGAACTGAACTGAGCTGGACGATGACATCACTGTTTACTCCAGAGCGGCTGTATATATATATATATATGAACATTAATCACTTTTTTACAACAAGAATGAAGCATCACTGAACTTACTTAAGCTGGACTGTGACACTATTCTCTTCTGGAACAAACTTTGTTGCATTATTATTATCTCTGTAAAGCGGCTTTGAAACACTCTGTGTTGTAAAAAGCGCTGTATAATAAAGCTGACTCGACTTTTACAAACATTCCCGTTCATGCCGTGTGTAATAGAGCCGTGTGTGAATGTAAAGTTGCTCGATGAATAGAGTTATTGTCTCCTAAAAGAAAGAAGAAACTGCTGAAACGAGTCAGTAATTCCAGTCTGACATGTAACTAATTAGCATAATCCCCGCCTCTGGTCCTGATTGGCTGAGCAGCGTCTCTTAGCTCCGCCCTCAAACACTGTAGTGTATCTGATAGGGCTGCACGATTTGGGCCAAAATGATAATCACGATTATTTTGATCAATATTGCGATCACGATTAATTATCACGATTATTTGTTGATTTTAACCAAAACAAATTTTATTGCCACATAGGCTAATTATAACTGCTTTCACATCCATATTGTGCTACATTTCTGCTAATGTATGTGTATCTAAATAAAATAGGTCCTCTTATTCACCAAAATTCAGTGCATCTCCTTAAAGAATAAAGAAAACAATAAAGAAAATGTAGCAAAACTTCAACAGGGCACTATTTTACATTTTACATTGTGTAAATCTATTTTAGGAAGCAAAATATAAACTTGCATTGTACCTGCATAATGGATGTGAATAAAACACGCAAAATATACAATCAATAAAAAAACAAATATTCCATAACAGAATGTAACCAAATGAGAACATTTCAAGGCAGAACTGCACTATGGAAGTTCGATTAATGGATGAAATTCAGAGTCATTGTTATTTGACGCTTAATAAATGTAAAATGTTGTGGTAGGCCTACAGTGTCAGTGATTAGTTGTGAAGTCTTACTGCATAAATTTAATCTATTTAATTCTCCATGTGAAAGTTTATGTGCTCAAATTATTTCTATTTGTTAAACAATAGGTCAAAACAAGACGTTTGTAGGACTGATTATTGGAGTCCATTAATCGAACTTCCATGCCTCTTATGTAAGGGTTAATGCCCGACGAGGTGTCCGTTGTCAGGTTTTAATGGACGACGGCGAGGTGTAAACCGGCCGACGCGCAGCGGAGGACAACGGTCCTGACAACGGTCACCTCGAAGGGCATTAACCCGCTTATACCATGGTCACTTGCCAAATAAAACATTTTTAAAACATTAGTTTATATTTTAATTAGGCTAAATCTAGTTTTTTCAAATAATAACTTGCCTGACGATTTATTTAGCAACTTGAGATATTTATAGTCCGCTCAGCTTGTAGAACCCTTCAGGTTCAAAAATGCATTTTTTTTTTCATGAAACACAAAGGTAGGCATAGTTATTTTTTTATTGCACATAAAACACTTTGTGTTACACTAGTCTACACTAACCACAGCCTCCGAAGCACCGCTGTAGGTCGACTCTCCGATGCTGGACTGGAGAGCCGTCAAATAAAGTCGGTGACAGGCCATCGATGCGAGAGCAGTCTGCGGGCTTACTGGGCTCCGTCAGTCCGTGAGAGACTGAAGATGAAATAACGAACGAAGTCGCTCATTGTAGTAGGCTATGTAATATCTAACTAACGTTGACTGCCTGTTGCTATGGTTACTCACACAGCTGTTGTAGGCAGCGCATTTATTTATTAATTTCGAATGGTAAACAGGCAGTTTCACCAGAACTACTTTAGGTGTCCTCTATCACTTTTTAACGGACACCCTGCAGCCAATCAGAATCGAGTATTCACCCAGACCATGGTATAAATAGTAAATATATATATGTAGTATGTACCAATTTACTAATGCAATTTACTAATGCTCACACTCGGTCTCTCACGCGCACTGTCACTCAGTCTCTCTCGCGCGCGACACAATCGGTAGGCGCGCGCTGTTGCTCGCACGCAGACACACTCGCGGTCTCTCTCGTGCACCTGGGCTCATGGAGGCACGTGATCAGACACTGGTTTACGGTGCGCTAGATTGGCAAAAAAAAAGCTTTCTGTGAACTGAATGACGCATTTAAAATATCGCTCGATCACGCGAATTTGATCGTGGGAAGCCAAAATCGTGATCGTGATTAAAATTCGATTAATCGTGCAGCCCTAGTATCTGAGACTGGAAGAGTTCGGCTCGTGTCGAGGAGACGCTGTTTTCTGAGATTGATACGGTGAAACCCACGCCATCGTTACTGTTCGTATCACTGTGATCAAGAGCTGAGAGTCAGATATGATAATGAGCGTTTGCTCTCTGACCAATCACAGCAGAGCAGCTCTCAGAGAGGCGGAGCTTAGAGAGGCTGAATCTCCGAACGAAGCGTTTCAGACACTGAGAGGAAGAGTTTTTAACCTTTGATTCATGTAATATAAATAATATAAAGACGCAATTGCGTGTTATAAAGTCAGAATTGAGAGATATAAACATGCAATTCTGAGTCTTTTTTCCCTCTATAACTCGCAATTACGAGTTTATATCTCACAATTCTGAGAAAAGATGTAAATCTAGTCCTCATCAATTTTCCAAACTAAATTAAAAACCTTTAAAATAGCATATTCTGGGCACTTACAGCCCTCACGTGTAATGTTCTATCTAATAATTGTTGCATATAATAACATTTGATGTGCGTTCTCAACACTATTCATCAGCTTTCATCACGTACATCAGCGGTCGGGAACCTATGGCTCGCGAGCCATACCTGGCTCTTTGGCAAAAATCATGTGGCTCGCGAGGTCTCTCACCCTTTACCAACAAACGAGCGAAACAAAAGAAAAAAAAAGACATCAATAGAGATCGGCTCTCTGCAGAAAAATCTGCCAGTTACAATTCCCTTGTAGCACAGTCTACTGAAGTTAGTTAAACGTTTATGATAATAAGTATATTCGTGTTGTACCGGCAAAAGTGCGTATTCAGTGCTGGTCGCGCTCACGAGTTTTACGAGTCATCAGAGCTATCAACTTGTCTCTGTGATAACCTACAGCTCCTGCATTGGGATTCAAGCAGCTGCAGCTTGTTTAAGGTAGGCATAATGGCGAAAATCAGCATACACTTTAATACTTTCACTTTTGCCGCTGAGACCCTTTATGACAAATGGGTTTGATAATCCACGCAGATTTCAGTTGACGATTCTGTTTTAAGTTATTACTAACAAAAATTGAAGGAATGAAAAAAGAGAAGGATGTGCTTTATATTGAAAAGAAATATTAAAAGCGCGATAAGTCGCGAAAGAGAACGGAATTACTGGCAGGATGCTGTGTGCGCGCGCAACACGGAAAAGCATAGCCTTTGTCTTCGGTCGCGCACCGAAACGGCCAAATAAATACAGAAATATATAAAAATGGCAAGTCGAGTATTCACGTAAACACAGTAAATGTAAGCTCTCTCTCTCGCAGACAGAGAGGATTTATGCTCATCAGTTGATAACTCAACCTCACAGTGAAAGCCCTTCACAATTAATATTGAAACTTTGCTAAATATTTGTTTGTTTTTAGCCTAATGCTGTTGAAATTATTGATAAAAAGCACGTCTTTAATAATAATATTATATAATTATTTTACTGTGGCTCTTTTGGAAAAATGCATTAACCAAAAATGAAAAAATGGCTCTTTGGTCAAAAAAGGTTCCCGACCCCTGACGTACATGTTGCTCTAGTACTTTAATCTGCGTAGATTTTCAACTGCTACTAAACTCCAACCGTTCTTAGATCAAGATACATTCACTGGAAAAGCAAAATGACTTGTTTTCTGAAGTTAATGCTTAAAAATCAAGGGTGGATCAAATAAAAACTCAGAAAAATCGACTCATGTCCGCGTGAGTGTGTGTGTGGGTCAGCTGAAGGTCACATCAGTCAGTCTTCGGGATCATTTGTGCTCAGCTCACGAGTGATGAAGCTTTCAGCCCCATTAGTGACTAGTGTGTCACCGCAACACCCTTCACCCGTCAGCGTCCGCTAGAGGACCAGATCGCTGCTTTAATTAGAAGCTTTTAATAGTAACCCAATGCAAATGTCCTTCTCCTGGTTATGACGACTGTATGAGCTCGTTCAACTTCTATCAATTATTTAAAGGGCCTCGCCAAACCTGTCTGGAGCCTAATTATTGATCCTAAATATCCGCGGTTATCTTCAGAGGCTGGCAGATTAACCAGGCCGACCTCAGAACTGGGATATCTTTCTGTTCTGTATGAAACACTAAACTAATGCCGTTTCCGGCTTTCATTTCCCATGTTTCGGTCGGCACAGATTTCCTCGGACCGGGATCAGCTCTGGTGACCACTGGAAACCGGATACAGGTGAGCTGGCCTTCACAACACAAACCCTTCATCATCAGCATCAGAGAAACCCATCAAAACTCTGCCTGATGTGGAACTCAAATATGCGACTGATGTGTGTGTAATGTGCTTCACACACACCAGCCAAACGCTCCGGATCGGGGAGATTTTTAATGTGTTTAAAAGAAGTCTGCTCACCGAGGCTGCGTTTATTTGATTAAAAAAAAACAAAAAAATTGTATAATATTGTGAAATATTGTTATAATGTAAATCAGCTGTTCTCTATGTGAATATACAGTAAAGTGTAATTTATTCCTGTGATTTCAGCATCATTACTCCAGTCTTCAGTGTCACATGATCCTTCAGAAATCACTCTAATATGAGGATCTGATGCTCAAGAAACATTTATTGTTGGAAACTGTTATTTACACTTTTATTTCAGGATTCTTTGATGAATAGAAAGTTGAAAAGAAATATATATGAAATATATATATTATATATTTTTCATATATGAATATATGAAATAGAATCGTCTGTAACATTATAAATGTCTTTACTGTCACTTTTGATTAATTTAATTCATCCTTGATGAATAAAAGTATTAATTTATTTTATTTCTTTCCCCCAAAACATAAAATAAAATTCTTACTGACCCCAAACTTTTGAACGCTAGTGTTTAATGTTACAGAAGATTATATTTCAGATAAATGCTGTTCTTTTAAACTTTATATTCATCAAAGAATCCTGAAATAAAAGTGTAAATAACTGTGTTCAACAGAGCTTACAAAGCTCTTTCGGCACGATTGGTGGAATTTCAGCACAGCATCATGGGAAATGTAGTTATTTACCATGAATTCAGCTGTTAAACACGATTATTTTGAGAATGATTTTAAATAATGTGTGCTGACGAGAAGCAAATAGTGTTGATTAGCAGTCTCGTAGCTCACAGTAGTGTTAAAAATAAATTTCCCTATGGAGAAAATGAATGGAGTTTGTGCTTTATTGGTCTTGCATCTGAAACACAGTCACTCTACTCTGGTTTTAGGGTTAAAGCATGCTTTGTAATGATGTTTTTACCTGTTTCAGACATCTGGAGACCTCCGTTTCAGGGCACGGGATTACATCACAGGATCACTAGAGACTCGATGAACTCTCGGATCACGAACACCGGCTGACGGGTGGATCCGGGACATTTGCTTCCTGTGTTTCTAATATGAATGTTCATGTATCCTCATATCAAGTAAGACCACTGCAGGTTTTTTCTGTACGTAAAGATGCATTCGCTCATAATAAACCATGATTGTCTTAATCTAGCAAGTCTTTCTAGTTGCATCTCTTAGCGGACGTGCGGCTCGTCTCTGGGATGTTTTCCAAGTCCTTAATGACCCTCATGGGACTCCCAATCATTTCACTGTCAAAGAAACATTTGATTGTCAAAAAAAAAAAACAGTAAAAAATGTAAAATGAATTTTCAAAAAAACGGTAAACAAAAGCCCTTTTGACGTCCATCATAAAAACACTGATGGACAAAATAAAGACATGATGAATCCTGAAGCTGAGAGAAATACTAATATATAGACAAAAATACAGTAATAAATGTAAACGTATTTTACAGAACAATTTAAAACTGTAATTTACAGAAGAAGAAAAAAATCCAACTTCCCTTTTGACGTCCATCATAAAAACACTGATGGATGAGGAAAAGATGATGAATCACACGCTAAATATATAGAAAACACCTTCGTGGAAACACTACAATAATGCGATAAACATTAGTTAGAAGAAACACAGTTATTCAACTGAAAAACCATCAAACAGGGAATTCTGGGAATGTCAGGTTATGGCTTTTCGCTGTAAATTATAAGCTTTTTGATTCTGAAAATGGAACATTTAACTTACATTTTTACTGTAAAATTACTGTTAAAAATTAATCAGTGAACCGGTTTTATATATTTAAAGTTCAAATTACAATGATTTTACATAATTACAGTGATGCATACATGTGGTGTCAGAATCAGAAACGCTGATGATTGTTATTTATTAATCTTTAGATAGACAGTCTGGGATTGACTTGCTTTAAACAGCGAGATTAAATCATGAGCTGATAATGAGCTACACCTTCATCGCCGCGCTGACGGATTGAAGAGTGTGTGTTCTGCGTGACGGAGGTGAAGAGTGTGTGTTCTGCGTGACGGAGGTGAAGAGTGTGTGTTCTGCGTGACGGAGGAGCTGACGGAGAGTGTGTGTGTTCTGACTCATTTACTTCATGTCAGCAATAACTGAACGGCTGAATAAACAGCACATATTACTGCAACCTTTCTTTGTTTGTTTGTTTCAGACCTTATTGTATTTTTTAAATGTTTTTTTAAACTTATTTTATATTATTTAATTTTTTCATTATTTTGTTTTAGACCCTGTTTTTTTCCCTAATTTAATTCTATTATTGTTTTGTTTTTTAAGTGTTTTTTGTTTGTTTGCTTTGTTTTGTGTTAGACCCTATTATTATTATTTTCTTTATTTAAGTTGCTATTTT